ATTCTTATGAATCCCAAATCCCTATCCCCCTCTATGTGTTTATGTTCTCCCTGATTAGTTTGTGATTATGCCAGTTTCAACTATTTCTGAGCATGTCCAAACCAGTCCAAATACCCTTGCTGGGGTTATGTGTTTGCAGTCAAATGCCTGTGTATCCCCAAGCCATTTGACCGCTGTGTGACTACTGAACTCATTTGGGTTCTGTGTGTGATCCTATCCTGAAGTGTTTGATTTTGTTTGTCACTCCAACCTCTTTCAAACAACCTTTATTACCTTACTGACTGCTTTCAAAACAGACTTTTAAATCCAGTCTTTAATAGATTTCTTTCAACCTGTGTCCTGCACTTCCACTTCACTCTTAGTTAATAAGTTCTGTCCCCTCTAGTATGTGTACTACCTTAGGATCCTCTTGAGAACCCTCTGAACTCTGGCATACTGAGGTTGGCCTTTCCACACTGCACTGGTTCAATGCTTGGCTACTAAGTCTAGGTGTAAGCATTGCCCGGGGTCCTTGAGACCCTTAGGGAACTTTGATGCACCTAGACTCTGATTTGTCTGTTGGAAATGAGGCTTGAAAGACCATTGGAGGCTTTGGGAAACTTGGGCCTAATTGCAGGCTCTCTAGAATAGCTTCTTGTTTTTTATTTTACTTATGTAATTCATTTATTGGCCTGTAATAATTTGTAATCAGATATTTGGGGTATTTAGTAAAAGGGTGGGTAGATGTATACTTTGTGGGGTAACATGGGTAGAAATCCTGCTCTTAGGGTTTATTTTCAAATCTGCCTGTTTCACTTAATAGAAAACATGTCCATAGTGTTTTTATTCTTGTTGAATCTGATTGCTTTTTGCATAATAGAATCATGCCTATAGGATTCCACTTTTAATTTCATTTGCATCATAATAGAGAATCATGCCTATAGGATTCCACTTCTAATTTCATTTGCATCAAATAGAAATCATGCCTGTAAGGACTTCACTTTTAATGTCGTTTGCATCAGATAGAAACCATGTTCATAAAATTCGGCATTTATCATGTTAGAAACCATGTTTCTAGGTTCCAAGCCATCATGTCTTAGATCAATTCAAATATAGATACCATGTCTATAGGGTCTAATTCCGATTCAGTTCTAATGAGTCTTTCATATGTTACTGCCAGTTGACTAAAACCTGTAACGCGCCTAGATACCATGCCTGTAAGGATTTCCATTTGCAATTACGTCTGGTAATCTAATTAGCCTAATAAGTCAATTTCATTTTGCCTAGTTTACTTATTAAAACTGGTCTTATTAAGCGATGACATTTCCTGAAAATAGTTCTTTCATAATTGCTTTAATCTCATTAGATATCTTACCTACAGGTATTAAAAGGGTCTATTTCAAAAACTTGTTTGTTTCTGCATTAATATAGACACAGTACTGCATATAGGCAAGCCTTAGGGCATTTTCAAAACCTGCATTTCCTTGAAGTTGTTTCCGTCGTTCAACGTTTCTGATTCTAATAAGCTGTTAAAAAGGAGTCCTTAAGCAACTACTAGGTTATAACTTCTGGATCTAAAAGTGGTCTATTCTGCATAATCACTTGGAAATCCTGATTTAGGACTTTGATTAATAAAGACCTTAATTGTGCTTGAGACGTGCTATTTGTATGTATGTTTGAGGAGGAAACTGTGAGCCTCTTAATAGCTCCCATTATGTGAAAGTCCTAAATGCTTTTTGACTGTCGCCTTAGATTTTTGCCTTTAAAACCTTAGGGGTACGTCTAGAACCACCTATAGGTAAAGGTCCTAACTCCCTCCGGAACCGTTACGAAGGGATGGGTAGCAGCACGCAATAGGTATTAGTGACCAAACACTCGCTTTGCATGACCAATAAGGGGATGGGAAGGGTAGACATGGGATATGATAACTACGCGTTAAGGTCACGTGTAGCCCCTCATTGAGGAGTGTCTACCGGACATTGCGTGGGGTAATCCTATAGGATAAACAACCTAGGATCCCTCCTTACCCCAAACCCTCTCCCCGTTTTAAAACTTTTTTTTATATATAATTTGTGCAAACTTTTATTTCACTACTTGAATTGTTCAATGTGCTTCACAAACAACTTATCTGATTCAACTATTTGTATGGACTAATTTGTGAATATAAGTTCGGCCGGGACCCACAGTTGTGGACCAAGAGGGGTGCCTAACACCTTCCCCTCGAGGTTACTTCGAGCCCTTACCCTAATCTCTGGTAATGCGAACCATCCCAAGAGTTAACTACTCTAGGTGCCCTAACGCACCTTAATTCGTTAGGTGGCCACTCTTCAAACACCCAATTCCCAAAAGGAAATGAGTCATCACACCCCGTGAATGTCGAAGACCCGGACTCCTCCCCACGGGAGGGGGGGGGGGGCGACACACACCAGGTTGAAGTTAAGATAGATGAGCAGTAGTGTAAAGTTTGCATATCTTCCAATACGGGAAGAATTCGGTGCCCTTCTCTCGTTGTTTCGAGCCAACAATGCCGACAACAACAACAACAACAACTCAGTATAATCCCACTTAGTGGGAAAAAGCTTTTAAAAAGGGAGCCATGACATAACCGATAAAGTTGTTGTCGTATGACCTTGTGATCACAGGTTTGAACCATAAAAATAAGTCATTAGAGAAAGAGATAGAAAAGGGAAAGGGCTAAAGGTTGATGAAGAAGAAGTGTGTGTAGTTTTTGTTCAGCCAAGTAGCCCCCTATTTACAGAAGGCCAGTAACGGTTCGGCGGCGCAAGTGGCCGACCAACGCTGGAATACATTCACTGCTTTTGGGGAGATGGACCGGCGGTGCATTCAATGTTTTTGGGAAATGGACCAACGGGATGTTTCGATCACTTCAGGCGCCTACATCACAAGCATGACGTCATCACGAGAGGCTCGGAAAAATCGAGGTCAGAATCATTTCTTATTATCTTATTCTAAGAAACACGGGGACTATCTGTATACGGTCAAAATCGAGGAGTACGATTTTGAAGTCTTAAATCAGGCTATAGGCCCGAATCCGGGACTCGGAGTGGGTGTCGTATCCGTCTAAGGGACACCTACCTCGAGGAAGCTGATTGAACGCCTGGCACGGACAGCATCGAGGGCAGCATTGTCTCGAAGTCAATCAAGAAAGAGCGGGAATTTCTCAAGGACACGTGGATTTGGGCATTTATTATAGGATAAGGGTTGTACGAAATTGTACAGGTCCGTACTAGGCCGTATTACACCTGTACCAATAGAATTCTTTACCTTTATGAGCAAGGTACTATAGTGGGGTTTTCTCCTCCTATATAAAGGGGACCCCAATCATTTTGTAAAGAACCGATCATTCACTGCAATAGAACATTTTTATTCTTCTCTTGTTTAACGTGCTCAACAATTATTCTTCAGCTTTATTGCCTTTATTTTATTGTTCATACTTTATTGGTTTTAGCTGACCTCGAGGTCCCTGGATAGACGAGCTCGAGGCCCCTACTGTTCTGATAACATTGATTTGGTTCATTATTTCTTCTTACTTAAGCTCAATATTATTCATATAATCACTAGTATTAGAATATATCACGTATCTTTAAAACCACAAATTATCTTTAATTGTTACTCATATTTTTCGAGGTAAACATGATGATTAGCATTGAATTTATCTCTGTTACCTGAATTCTTGATTCAATCTTATTACATATGTTCAACTGAGCAATGGAATGGAGTGATGTTCTCTTTTCTGTTTAAAGTTTAAATCATAGCTCTACTTTTGGCATAATCATTGTTTCCCATATTTAAACGGTTTAACTTATGTACCAGAAGTACGGCTCATCACACAGAACAGTTTCTAGGATAATTCGAGCATTAGTGGACAAAAACTGTCCAAACAAAGCGTTTGAAAAAGTTCAGCTTTATTTTTGCCATCTCAATTCTTAGAACTTCTCAACCAAATGCCAGTAAGTGTTTTTTCAGTACTGTAGCATCTTGACATCCTCAAGTAAGAATCTATATGTATATTAAATTCTATTCTTTTTTCGTCTTTGGACGGTGGAATATTACTTAGTTTATAGGCGGAGTTTTCACTTAATTTATTTCCGAAGACCTTAAGTTGATTTCGACTTCGTCAATGGGTGGAAAATCCTTCACATCACATCCCACATAATTTATTACAACCACTAGCTATTGGTAGGACTGTGCATTGGGATTGGATATTCGAAATTCGAACCTATCCGCTCAATTTCGGATTTTGGATTTTGGATATTTGGACCGGATTTCGAATTATGTTTATAAAATTCCGGATATCCGGATAGGATTCGGATTGGTATAATTTTTACCCGATCCGATCCAAAATCCGAAATTATTAAGGCATATATAAATACTAAACTTTAATTTCAGATATCCAGTACTTCCTTTATATCTTCCTCCAAATTATTACCTTTACAATTGGTGGATTTAGCTACATTGACACCATAGTACCCTCATAATTGCAGAAACATGAATTTTTCTTGCTGTATTGCCTCTTCTACAAATAAAATATAGGTATGAGTTTTGCAACTTAGAGGCATAACAACTCGAACCTCCAGAAGATGCAATGTTGATAAAAGGGATAAAAAGCAAAGAGATGTTTGTATTAGCACAGAACACAGAAGAAGATAAGGCAGATGATTTAGCCGATTAGATTAGCAATAGCCTTAATAATACGTATAATAAGATCCGAAAATCCGAAATATCTATCCGATCCGATATTAATTCGGGTCGGATTCAGATTACATATTGTAGAATCCGAAATTTCAATCCGAAATATGCTAAATCCGATCCGATCCCTACTAGGAACATGTGATTAGCATTTAGCATAAGGAGTTAACAGGAAATGGTTAAAATTGCAAACGTCAATTGCTTAGCATTTTGCTTGTGTCACATAGAAGACTGATCCCAATTTGCACCAAGTCTTCAGTCTTGCTCTCCAAGTATTTTCTGTGTAACTTAATGAAGACAACTTAATTTGTCCTTAATTTTATATGCAATATTCAATAACAGGACAATATAAAACCCTTTGCAATACATCAAATACTCTCACAATTCAGCAAAGATCTTCAAGAAAACTTCTAAAACAACCAGTGATCAATTCCATATATGGCAGACATAATTTCAAAAGTGTTTGATGAAAATGAAGATTTTCGCGCTCTCATAGTATTAGATGATGAGCGCACCGAGGAATTGCAGCTCCAAGAGGTTCTTGGAGCCTCATTAGAAATCTTCCATCATCACATGTCATCATCAACAATCCAAGAATCCCCTGAATCATCCCAAGGTTACTGCGATATTTGCCTAGATTCAAAAAGAACAGATGAAATGTTCAAACTCGAGAATTGCTCTCATCATTCTTTCTGTTCTGACTGCATAGGCTTACATGTCCAATCCAAGATTCAACAGAATATTTTTCCTGTAACTTGTCCAGGTTTGAGATGTCGCGCAATAATTGAACCTGAATCTTGTAAGACAATTATTCCAGAAAATGTTTTCGCGAGGTGGGAAGAGGGATTATTGAGCGAGTCAAGTCTTCTTGCTTGTGAAAACATTTATTGTCCTTATAGAGATTGTTCAGGGCAGCTATTTTATGATCGTGATCAAGGCACAATTGAGTTATGTCCTTTATGTCGAAGGCTGTTCTGCGCGCCATGTGGTGTCCCTTGGCATACTGGGTTTGATTGTGACAAGTTTCAAAAGGAAGGAAAAGACAGAGATGATATAAAAGTTGAGGAACTTGCTAAGAAATCTAAGTGGATGAAATGCCCTCAATGCAAACACGTTGTGCAGAGGGCTGATGGCTGTATACATATAACCTGCTGGTTAGTTAATCCTATTCTTTTGTGGTGGTGGGAGGTTTAATTTCCTTATAATTTATACTACTGATTTAGAGTAATTTAAATTAACTAATTGACGTGTTTAATTTACATATGGCTTAATCCTATGTATTGTGGATTCAGGTGCAAATTTGAATTTTGCTATATATGTGGAGGAACATGGAGTGAAGAGCATTGGAGTTGCCAGATTAGTTAATGATCATATCGGATTGCATTCTTCGTACCAATTCAGATGCTGGATGTTTGTTGTCTACGTACTAGCCAGAAGGTTCAGAATTACAAAAACAAAAAAAAAAAAAAGAAAAAAAATAGGAACAAAATTATACTGCTCTTAGTTAGTACTTTATAATGTGATTAATTTGGTGTGTTGTCCAAAATGTTGTAAAGTATGTACTTCTGTAGCTTCCTAATTGGACCTTAGATCTCGTTCACCTGTTTTGGTTATAAGATGTTTGAATTGGAGACCAAAAAGCTAAGACACTCTATGCGTCTTTTTTTCCCAAGTCAAAAGCTAGAGACTTAATTAGGTGCATAACAAAAAAAGCAATCAATTCATTAACTTCGCCCTAATGTCAAACTAATTGGAACAGTCATATGAATCGTCTTATCGACTCCGCTGGCTCTACACACTCATTTTATTTAGGCGAGCAAGTTTCATTCATAAAGTAATCAAATATTCATTATAATTAGGATATCTTATGTTAGCAGTATATGGTAATTCTCCTCTTTTATTTGAATTTAAGACTGATTAAAAAGCATATAAAAAAAGTGCGGTAAAAAAATAATTTATTTTACTCTCGAAATCCAAATACAGTCGCATAAATTGAAACGAATGGAGTATTATAATTTCAATATTAAAATGCACATAATTCCAACAATATCTGTGAATATGTAGCACGAATGTATGTGTAGCATAGCTGAAAAAAATGACTAGCATAATGTTTTTATTTCACCTTTAAAATTGTTAGAAATGACTTCTCCTTCGGGTGTATTGCTTCTGTACGAAGTGATCTTCTTTTTTTACCCAATTAAATAGGGATAAATGTCACGTCCTTAGTTGTTAGCTAAGTACACATGCGGTACTTGACAACTCGCTCACGATCTTGCACAATTTGCTCACGTTCTTGCTATGCCAAGTCAGCCTTACTACACTCAAGAACGCTAAGAGAATGGTAGAAAGAACACAAGAGAATTGCTGAAGGAAGCTTTGTATTAGAGAGAACTTGAATTGTTTGCTTCATGAATTACAAATGAATGACCCCCTTTTATATACTAGTCTCCTAGGGGCTAGTGTGTAAATATTAATTATTACACAAGTCCTTAATATTTACAAGATAAGGGCTTTCTCTAGAATTCTTTACAAGCCTAGAAGATTCCAAGGACTTTCCTAGCAAATCCATAAAGATCTAGGTTCTTCCTAAGGAAATGTCCATACTTCTCTAGAATCTTCTCACAAATGCTAGCCTTCTTTTTATGTAAGCTTCCACATGGCATTAATATATGCCAAATGGCGCCTATCTAGCATGATGACGTGGCGGGTCATCACACTCTCCCCCACCTAATATTGCGACGACCGCGGCGCAATGCTTCTGTATAAACTCTCGGATCTTATCTTTGAATTGCCATAAGTCTTCATATCGTTCCCATGTGGCCTCTTCCGGTGATTGCCCATTCCAATGGATGAGGAACATAGCAGTGGCTTTTTGCCCTTGTTTTCGCCTGGCCTGGTAATCCATAATAGCCTCAATCTCCCGATCATACGAGGCGGTGATAGTCATAGGTGCTCGACTTGATTGGCCCCTACTCGGATCATCTTTATCTTCATGATATGGCTTAAGCATGCTTGCATGGAAGACAGGGTAGATCTTAAGATACGATGGCATGTCAAGCTTGTATGAGATCTTTCCTACCTTGGCGACGATCTTAAATGGCCCATCATACTTGCGAATCAAATTCTGATGCATGTCCCGTAGTGCCTTGAACTGTCTTGGGTTAAACTTCACCATGACCATGTCCCCAACTCTATAGTCCGTGGGACGGTGCTTACGGTCCGCAAACTTCTTCAGCTTCTTAGCTGCCTATCCAAGTAGGACTTAGCAGTGTCAAGCTGCTCCTCCCATCATTTGGCCATATAATAAGCTCCCAAACTCTTTCCCTTGAACGCAGCTGGTAATGAATGTGGAGTTTGTGGCTGTTGGCCTGTGGCTAGCTCAAATAGTGTCCGCCCCATGGACTCACTCCGGTGCAAGTTATAAGAGAATTGTGCGATGTTTAGGAGCCTTGCCCAATCTTTCTGATGCGCGCTTACATAATGCCTCAAGTAGCATTCTAGTAAGGCATTGACCTGTTCTGTTTGTCCATCTGTCTGTGGGTGGAAACTAGTGGAATAGTGCAGTTCCATGCCAAGCATGTCAAATAACTCTCTCCAAAAGTTTCTAGTAAAACGGGGGTCTCGATCACTGATGATATGCCTTGGTAAGCCCCAATACTTCACCACGTTCTTAAAGAATAGCGTGGCGGCTTCCTTGGCAGTGCAACCTGGTAAGGCGGGCATGAAGGTGGCATATTTGGAAAATCTATCCATGACCACAATAATAGTACCATAACCATCGGACTTCGGTAGGCAAGTGATAAAGTCCATAGTTACGCTCTCCCATGGACGCTCTACAACTGGTAGTGGCTCCAAAAGTTCTCCAGGTTGTTGTTGCTAAGCCTTGTTCTGTTGACAGACAAGACAAGTCTGCACATAACACTCTATGTCATCTCGCATGCGTGGCAACTACTAGACTGACTCAACCAAGGCCCTAGTGCGACGTTGGCCTGGATGACTAGCCCACATTGTGTCATGACTCTCCCTTATGATCCACCGTCTAATGTCTCCAAACTTAGGCACGTAGATCTGCCGACCTGTGGTAAGCAGTAGGTCGTCTTCGACCCAAAAACGTCTCGTATTGCCCTGGTTGGCTAACTCGATAAGTTGTTTGGTTGCTGGATCATGTTGCATGCCTTCTTTTATAGCCTCACGAATGTCCCATATGGTTGAAGTGATTGCAGCAAGCTCGGCTTTTTGGCTCAAGGCATCGGCTACAACACTACCTTTGCCCGGTTTGTACTCCAGCACATAATCAAACTCACCTAAGAAATCCTGCCACCTAGTCTGTTTTGGTGTGAGCTTCTTCTGCTTCTGAAAGTAGCTAGTAGTCACATTGTCGGTCTTGACCACGAACCTCGACCCGAGCAAATAATGTCGCCATGTACAAAGGCAATGCATAATAGAAGTCATTTCCTTCTCTTGCACCGTGTAACGCCGCTCCGTATCATTTAACTTGCAGCTCTCAAACTCTATGGGATGCTTATCCTGCATCAGGACACCCCCAATTGCAAAGTCTGAGGCATCTGTGTGCACCTCAAATGTCTTGGCAAAGTCAGGTAACGCCAAGACTGGCTCCTCTATTACAACTGCCTTAAGGCCTTCAAATGCCTTTTGACAATGCTCCGTCCAAACCCATGGCTTGTTCTTCTTTAGCAACTCAGTCAATGGTGCGGCCTTGGCTGAGTAGCCACTAATGAACCGACGATAGTAGTTAACAAGGCCAAGGAAGGATCTCAACTCAGTTACCTTTGTAGGTGCCTCCCACTCCTGGATAGCACGTACATTAGTCTCGTCCATGCATAGCTCGCCATTGCTAATGACATGGCCCAAGAAGTGCACCTTTGATTGTGCAAACTCACATTTCTCCCTCTTGATGTATAGCTCATTCTCCCACAAGACTTGGAAAACCTTCCTTAAGTGCTCCATGTGCTCCTCCAAAGTGTTGATGTAGATGACTATGTCGTCTAGGTAGACTACCACGAACTGATAAAGGTAGGGATGGAAAATCTTGTTCATAAGGGTGCACAATGTGGCCGGTGCATTGGTTAAGCCGAAGGGTATCACCAACCACTCAAAGGATCCATATCTCGTTACACATGCTATCTTTGGCTCATCCCCTTCCGCAAGGCGAACCTGGTAGTAGCCCTTTCGAAGATCCACCTTGGTAAAGTACTTGGCTTGCCCAAGTCTATCGAACAAGTCAGCAATGAGCGGGATCGGGTACTTATTCTTCACTGTGACCTTATTAAGTGCTCGGTTGTCCATGCACAAACGCAATGATCCATCCTTCTTCTTCTGGAACAATACTGGTGTGACAAAAGGTGCCTTTGATGGGCGAATGTGACCAGCATCTAGCAGCTCTTTCAATTGTTTCCTGAGCTCCTCTAGCTCGGGCAGTGCCATACAATATGGGGAAAATGCGGGTGGCTTAGCCCCTAGCTCCAACTCAATCTTGTGATCCACTCTCGCCTAGGCGGCAAGTGCTTAGGCAACTCCTCGGGCATGACATCTTTGTTTTCCTCAAGTAACTTCTCTATGCAAGGCGGCACTATCTCTTGAAAATTCTTGTCTTCTTCTAGACTTGCAATGGTTTCCACGAACGTCGGCTCCCCCTTCTTGATCCCCTTGACAACCTGCATAGCTGAGAGTTGTGCTTGGATCTGTCCGTGTGGCATAGTCACTGTAGGTACCATGCAAGCTCCTTCTCGCTCCATATCCAAGAGACGTTGGAGGTAGGGGTCGATCAAAGTATTACAATGTCTAAAGAACTCTTGCCCCAGTATGATGTCAAAGATATCCATAGCGGTTACGGTAAAGTTTGTCATACCTTTCCAAATTCCCAATTTGACACCAACTCATTAGCTACCCCACGAGCATTATGTACCTCGGCATCCACGGTCTTTACGCGAGAGTTGGTTGGAGAAAGCTTCAATTCTGGTCTCTTTGCGGCAGCCTTAGTCACGAAATTATGAGTTGCTCCAGTATCCACCATTGCGCGAGCGGGCTTATTGTTGATGGTGAGATCCACGTACTGATTGCTGTTATCAGTAGGTTGGATAGCTTGCTTCGTGACAGTACCACATAATCCGAGCATACCCAATTGTGCGGTTCCCGGACTCTCTCCTTGTGGCTGCTCCTTCCGTTCACGGACCAGGGCACTGAGGCTCTTGAGGTCAGGACAATTCCTGAAGCCGTGTGGCCCTCAGCATATATGCATCCCTTCTTCTTGGCCTGCGCCTTCTTCTCGGCGTAGCCCTGACGGCCACTCGACTTTTTGGAATCTTGAGTCTTCAAGTATTGTTGTTGTATCTCCTTGCCTTTCCATGGTCTCCCCCACCTTTGACATAGCTAACCTTTAACTCCTTGCCTTTGCCTTTGTCGTGCTTGTCATGCCTGAAATCCATCAATGATTCAGCCTCCACTATGGCTTGGTCTATATCCGTAACTTTCTGACGTTGTAACTCCTGTTTAGCCTAATTTTGCAACCCATCCATGAAGTGGAACAACAAGTCATCATTGGTCAGGTTGGGAATTTGAAGTATAAGGGTAGTGAACTGCTTGACATAGTCAC